TAATGTCACTATTGAAAAGTTCACATATAAGTCAATAAGGCATTAACTTTAGAGGCGAGAATTAATGGAATATTTAAAATCAGAATCACACACATATATATATACATACACATCACAAATATTCTTAACAAAGGGACAAAATAACTGATGATATATTCTTATATTACACTTTTACTGTATACAAAATACTTATTCAGATAAGAAACTGGCATGATCACCTCTTTACACTCTATGTTTCGCCCGATTCGAAACGACTCAGCCCATCAGCATTTTTATTCAATTTGCCTGGGCGGTAAACTACCTCAAAGTTGCAAGGTTGCAACTGTACTATAAAGCTAAGGAACACAATAAATCCTAAGTAATTCTAAAAGGATCAACACTCAATATACAAATACAAAGTACTACAATAAACAAAACAAACAAAAAATTATTGTACTCAAAACAAGTTGTCGGCTCCTATTGGTACCTAATTCAGATAAAATCTCAATTCATTTGGTGCGTTTTCGCACCTATGAGCTTTCATTATGTCTGTGGGTTTCCCACTTACGGCTAAATATTTTGTGTTTCTATCTTGAAAACTACTACTTTGCCAGTGATCTGTTCGATTTCGATGTTCAGTTTCAGATTTCCGAACAGCACATCGTGAATGGAAACGCTCCGGGGGTCTTCCTGCACTTCTTTCTTTCCGAGTTCTTTCTTCCGGGATTCCAGACAAAAATTCGTCCTGACGGACCAGCGTTTTTTTCTTAGAAATGTTTCGCTTTCTTCGTAAATCTAAAGAAGTCCATGCACTTCGTGGGTTAATGACCGCTTTTGTTATCTTGATTTGTCCATTTCTTGACCTGTTCTCCGAACGGTGAGGACACTTCACCCTTTCTTTGCCTCGGACGTTAGCTGACTGGACGGGGAAAATTTCACCCTCCTCCTCGTCATTCATTCGCCCCGCGGGGCGCTCAACTTCTTTGTTCTCTGGACCTTGGCTAGGGGAATTTTCTTTCCTGCTGCAAGCTTTCGTTTGACTGCGAGTCATAACAGCATTGATTTTATGGGGCTGCATTTTATTCTGTTCTATCAATCGGGCTGTTCGATTTCCCAGCAGATAATATTCTTGATTCAGGTCGGAGCTAATCACTGCGGCTTTAGTAATGACTTTCCCAAAGTCCTCTCCCTCTAATTCAATTCGAGCCAAGGGTAAACACAAAAGAATGTAAATCTAGCGGCTGCTTAACCCACACTGTCTCTCCTAGAAGCATCTGATGTGTTACTTGGTCCCATCCGATCAGATCGATAGTGGAGCCAGTATCTCGGAGTACAGGCATTTCTCGATTATTTACTCTCGCTATACTCATATAGGGAGCTAGCCATGTATCTGGAGATTCTGAAGTGCCTAGTTTGTTTACAGCTTCAGCGGCCTCTTGTCTTTTTAACCGAGGACACTGAGGTCGGAGATGACTATCTGAATTACATTCATAACATCTAGGTATTCTCCGTTTTTCGAAAACACTTGACTTCCATTTCTCCGCAGTTTTTTCTTTCGAAACATTATCATGGCGACGACGTACTCGATCTGAAAATTCTCCTTTTTTCCTTTAATATTTGAATCCTGTTCGGTATTTTTAGTAAAACCTGTTGGTTTTTTTTACGGACTTTCGTACTGCTTCATATTCATCTAATTTCTTCACTAGTTCGGCAGAGAAGATATTATACTCGGCCACTCATCCACGAAGTGTTCGCGAATTTCGCTGTTTACTCGACGTTTAATTTGATCCGTCAACATTAAGTCTTTTAGCGCATCGAAATCTCGTACGTCTACTCCGTTTAACCATTCATCTAGATAGTTTTTTAACTCAAAAGCAAAGTCTTTATATAAACTACCCGCACGACGCTGGTGTTGAACAAATTTGACGCGGAACGCCTCTGGGTTCAACTTAAACCGCTGCAAAAGAATTTTCTTTACGTAGGAGTAATTATCTAGCTCCTGTTCCGGCTCTCGTAGAATAATAGAAACAATGTCCATTGGCAATAGAGCCATCAAATGTGACACCCAGTCTCCTTCCTCTACCTTCGCTTTGCGAGCCTGACGCTCAAACATCGCTAAGTAAAGCGAAATATCCGATGATTCGGGATTATATCTCTGCATTAAATTTTGCAAATCTCTCATAGATCTCGGAATATTATTTTGAGAATTTTCTCTGCCATTATTGGCGTTTGTCAACCTTAGACGTTCTAATTCAAATTCTCTCTCCCTTTCCCTTTCAAGTTTACGCTCTTCGGCTTCTTCGAGTCTATGTTGTTCGATTCGCGCTTCGATAATCGACTCTAGTGTTGCCTCGACGAATTTTTCGTCATACTGAGGGCTCTGTACAATGAGGTTTTTAAGATCTTGTATTTTTGCATTTGGGGGAACTTCTAGACCTAATTCTACAGACAGATTTATGAGGTCTTGCTTTCTACCCTTGCCAAGATATGACATTTTGCCAGTGACAAAATTTTAAAATGATACAATAAAATAAAACTAAAGGTACCAGTTTGTCTACTCTGAAAGTTTCACACTATCCAGAAATACTACAGTAAAACAACATAGCAATGCAATTTATGGTATGTATGACATAAAATACGTACCATTAGCAACATAGGAAAAAAAATTAAAGTAAATTAAGCATTTCTTAAATAATCTGTTGCAGCTTAACACATAACCATACTTAATGCAGTATATAAAAAAAATTTGCTAAATACTTATTGGCAAAAGAATATTAGTCACAAAGAGCAATACTTATTGACTCAATTTACAACTGATGCGTGCTTTCTAAAGGTTGAAAATACTATTATAAAATTCTCTACTCATCAAAAACAAAACATTTACGAGTAACCATTTAAACATATAATTTCGATACACAAAAGACAAACTCCATTAAAATGCCTCTTTAAAAAGATAATGCCATATCAACTTACCCATTGCAGACAAAAAAAATAACAGCTCTTCTTTCCTTTCTTTTCTATTTGCACACGCGATTCAATGACCGAAGAAGGAAACCAATTGAACAATAGTCGACTGGGCGATTCTTCTTTCACTAAACACCAAAAGCACTTTCACTGCACAGAGGGTGGTAAACACCAAACGCGAATTCACAACACTTCACTCTTGTCTGGACTTCTTATGTCTTGTCTTTACACCCGAGGGAGAATTTTACTTCACACTCTTTCCCAGGCACTTCCGGAACTAGTCTTTGTAGTAGTTGATTCTTCACGAACGCTTCTCATCGATGATCCCTTTTCAGCTGCTGGTTAAACTCTCCAAACTTTACTGCGAAAGAATTCTTTTCCACTGCTGCTAGAATCGGCTGATTCTGAATGAAGATAAGAACCGGGACGGTTCTCCAAAACGATCACGTCTTTGTTTGTCTATTGGGTTTTTACGATCCCACCGCTGCCACCAATTAACACATACCTTCTAGCTGTAGCGATTTTAGAACAGTCAGCAATTTTATTTTGGTAGCGTAATTAAAAATAAGGTAAGTGTTAAATTTCACAAATTGAATTTTAAGGTAAGTTCAACTGCTTATCATAACAAAGTAGTTTGCTTAGCAAAGTAGTCCGTTTCCAATAGGAAACGATAATCACTTGAGTTCAAACAGAGGTAGCGGAGAAAAAGTCCGGCTACGCTTCTTTGAGGGTTTCTTTTTCCGCTCTTGACAGAGCTTAGTAGCGACTCGGGACGAGCCGAGAGATCTCTAAAACTACAAGAGAAAGGCTCTCTCTTCTCTACGCAACGACTGCGTATTCTGCAGACTAAAAACTCTCTAATTATTTTCACTCACTGTTTTTATGTCCAGGTTTTCTGGGCGTGTCTTGTGCGTCTGCTGCAGTGATTCGCTAAACGTCTTTTTCGGAGCATCTCTCCATTGGTTAACAGGCGCTGATTTGTTCTCAGATACTGTCTTGACAGCCTGAGAAACTGAAATTTTCCGTGGGAAAATTCAGAACGTCTTTTTGGGAGGTCTATCTAAATTATTTCGAGAAAACAGGCAGTTGGCGACAGTCTATCGCATACACACAATGGACACTCCACAACCCGTGAGAACTTGTATGAAAGTTTTCTCCTTTCGTAAAAACAATATGCTTTCCGCACTTTGTTGGGGGTCACGTTCGACCTCAAGAATTCGTAAGTGTCATCAGGGTGGTCATCTGGCGCCCATTTGAAGTCTCCTTTTCCCAGACTTCGTGGGAGCCCGTGGGAAAATAGCTGACGACGTTACAGCTATAGATTCCTTCCCCCTTCGGAAGAACTTTTCTCGAGTTGAAACGAAGAGGAAAGTTCTCCTCATCATTTCACTAACTTTAAAAAATGACACGAAATAAACTGTTCTCTCGATAACACTTTCAAACACACCTTTACAGGAACACAGCTACATTGATTAATAACAGTACTAGTAATGTCACTATTGAAAAGTTCACATATAAGTCAATAAGGCATTAACTTTAGAGGCGAGAATTAATGGAATATTTAAAATCAGAATCACACACATATATATATACACATACACATCACAAATATTCTTAACAAAGGGACAAAATAACTGATGATATATTCTTATATTACACTTTTACTGTATACAAAATACTTATTCAGATAAGAAACTGGCATGATCACCTCTTTACACTCTATGTTTCGCCCGATTCGAAACGACTCAGCCCATCAGCATTTTTATTCAATTTGCCTGGGCGGTAAACTACCTCAAAGTTGCAAGGCTGCAACTGTACTATAAAGCTAAGGAACACAATAAATCCTAAGTAATTCTAAAAGGATCAACACTCAATATACAAATACAAAGTACTACAATACACAAGACAAACAAAAAAATTATTGTACTCAAAACAAGTTGTCGGCTCCTATTGGTACCTAATTCAGATAAAATCTCAATTTATTTGGTGCGTTTTCGCACCTATGAGCTTTCATTATGTCTGTGGGTTTCCCACTTACGGCTAAATATTTTGTGTTTCTATCTTGAAAAACTACTTTGCCAGTGATCTGTTCGATTTCGATGTTCAGTTTCAGATTTCCGAACAGCACATCGTGAATGGAAACGCTCCGGGGGTCTTCCTGCACTTCTTTCTTTCCGAGTTCTTTCTTCCGGGATTCCAGACAAAAATTCGTCCTGACGGACCAGCGTTTTTTTCTTAGAAATGTTTCGCTTTCTTCGTAAATCTAAAGAAGTCCATGCACTTCGTGGGTTAATGACCGCTTTTGTTATCTTGATTTGTCCATTTCTTGACCTGTTCTCCGAACGGTGAGGACACTTCACCCTTTCTTTGCCTCGGACGTTAGCTGACTGGACGGGGAAAATTTCACCCTCCTCCTCGTCATTCATTCGCCCCGCGGGGCGCTCAACTTCTTTGTTCTCTGGACCTTGGCTAGGGGAATTTTCTTTCCTGCTGCAAGCTTTCGTTTGACTGCGAGTCATAACAGCATTGATTTTATGGGGCTGCATTTTATTCTGTTCTATCAATCGGGCTGTTCGATTTCCCAGCAGATAATATTCTTGATTCAGGTCGGAGCTAATCACTGCGGCTTTAGTAATGACTTTCCCAAAGTCCTCTCCCTCTAATTCAATTCGAGCCAAGGGTAAACACCAGGGATGTAAATCTAGCGGCTGCTTAACCCACACTGTCTCTCCTAGAAGCATCTGATGTGTTACTTGGTCCCATCCGATCAGATCGATAGTGGAGCCAGTATCTCGGAGTACAGGCATTTCTCGATTATTTACTCTCGCTATACTCATATAGGGAGCTAGCCATGTATCTGGAGATTCTGAAGTGCCTAGTTTGTTTACAGCTTCAGCGGCCTTTTGTCTTTTTAACCGAGGACACTGAGGTCGGAGATGACTATCTGAATTACATTCATAACATCTAGGTATTCTCCGTTTTTCGAAAACACCTGACTTCCATTTCTCCGCAGTTTTTTCTTTTGAAACATTATCATGGCGACGTACTCGATCTGAAAATTCTCCTTTTTTCCTTTAATATTTGAATACTGTTCGGTATTTTTAGTAAAACCTGTTGGTTTTTTTACGGACTTTCGTACTGCTTTATATTCATCTAATTTCTTCACTAGTTCGGCAGAAGATATTATACTCGGCCACTCATCCACGAAGTGTTCGCGAATTTCGCTGTTTACTCGACGTTTACTTTGATCCGTCAACATTAAGTCTTTTAGCGCATCGAAATCTCGTACGTCTACTCCGTTTAACCATTCATCTAGATAGTTTTTTAACTCAAAAGCAAAGTCTTTATATAAACTACCCGCACGACGCTGGTGTTGAACAAATTTGACGCGGAACGCCTCTGGGTTCAACTTAAACCGCTGCAAAAGAATTTTCTTTACGTAGGAGTAATTATCTAGCTCCTGTTCCGGCTCTCGTAGAATAATAGAAACAATGTCCATTGGCAATAGAGCCATCAAATGTGACACCCAGTCTCCTTCCTCTACCTTCGCTTTGCGAGCCTGACGCTCAAACATCGCTAAGTAAAGCGAAATATCCGATGATTCGGGATTATATCTCTGCATTAAATTTTGCAAATCTCTCATAGATCTCGGAATATTATTTTGAGAATTTTCTCTGCCATTATTGGCGTTTGTCAACCTTAGACGTTCTAATTCAAATTCTCTCTCCCTTTCCCTTTCAAGTTTACGCTCTTCGGCTTCTTCGAGTCTATGTTGTTCGATTCGCGCTTCGATAATCGACTCTAGTGTTGCCTCGACGAATTTTTCGTCATACTGAGGGCTCTGTACAATGAGGTTTTTAAGATCTTGTATTTTTGCATTTGGGGGAACTTCTAGACCTAATTCTACAGACAGATTTATGAGGTCTTGCTTTCTACCCTTGCCAAGATATGACATTTTGCCAGTGACAAAATTTTAAAATGATACAATAAAATAAAACTAAAGGTACCAGTTTGTCTACTCTGAAAGTTTCACACTATCCAGAAATACTACAGTAAAACAACATAGCAATGCAATTTATGGTATGTATGACATAAAATACGTACCATTAGCAACATAGGAAAAAAAATTAAAGTAAATTAAGCATTTCTTAAATAATCTGTTGCAGCTTAACACATAACCATACTTAATGCAGTATATAAAAAAAATTTGCTAAATACTTATTGGCAAAAGAATATTAGTCACAAAGAGCAATACTTATTGACTCAATTTACAACTGATGCGTGCTTTCTAAAGGTTGAAAATACTATTATAAAATTCTCTACTCATCAAAAACAAAACATTTACGAGTAACCATTTAAACATATAATTTCGATACACAAAAGACAAACTCCATTAAAATGCCTCTTTAAAAAGATAATGCCATATCAACTTACCCATTGCAGACAAAAAAAATAACAGCTCTTCTTTCCTTTCTTTTCTATTTGCACACGCGATTCAATGACCGAAGAAGGAAACCAATTGAACAATAGTCGACTGGGCGATTCTTCTTTCACTAAACACCAAAAGCACTTTCACTGCACAGAGGGTGGTAAACACCAAACGCGAATTCACAACACTTCACTCTTGTCTGGACTTCTTGTGTCTTGTCTTTACACCCGAGGGAGAATTTTACTTCACACTCTTTCCCAGGCACTTCCGGAACTAGTCTTTGTAGTAGTTGATTCTTCACGAACGCTTCTCATCGATGATCCCTTTTCAGCTGCTGGTTAAAACTCTCCAAACTTTACTGCGAAAGAATTCTTTTCCACTGCTAGAATCGGCTGATTCTGAATGAAGATAAGAACCGGGACGGTTCTCCAAAACGATCACGTCTTTGTTTGTCTATTGGGTTTTTACGATCCCACCGCTGCCACCAATTAACACATACCTTCTAGCTGTAGCGATTTTAGAACTGTAGCAATTTTTATTGGTAGCGTAATTAAAAATAAGGTAAGTGTTAAATTTCACAAATTGAATTTTAAGGTAAGTTCAACTGCTTATCATAACAAAGTAGTTTGCTTAGCAAAGTAGTCCGTTTCCAATAGGAAACGATAATCACTTGAGTTCAAACAAAGAGGTAGCGGAGAAAAAGTCCGGCTACGCTTCTTTGAGGGTTTCTTTTTCCGCTCTTGACAGAGCTTAGTAGCGACTCGGGACGAGCCGTACAAAGATAAAGCTTAAGAGAAAGGCTCTCTCTTCTCTACGCAACGACTGCGTATTCTTCAGACTAAAAAAAACTCTCTAATTATTTTCACTCACTGTTTTTATGTCCAGGTTTTCTGGGCGTGTCTTGTGCGTCTGCTGCAGTGATTCGCTAAACGTCTTTTTCGGAGCATCTCTCCATTGGTTAACAGGCGCTGATTTGTTCTCAGATACTGTCTTGACAGCCTGAGAAACTGAAATTTTCCGTGGGAAAATTCAGAACGTCTTTTTGGGAGGTCTATCTAAATTATTTCGAGAAACAGGCAGTTGGCGACAGTCTATCGCATACACACAATGGACACTCCACAACCCGTGAGAACTTGTATGAAAGTTTTCTCCTTTCGTAAAAACAATATGCTTTCCACACTTTGTTGGGGGTCACGTTCGACCTCAAGAATTCGTAAGTGTCATCAGGGTGGTCATCTGGCGCCCATTTGAAGTCTCCTTTTCCCAGACTTCGTGGGAGCCCGTGGGAAAATAGCTGACGACGTTACAGTATATCTCTCCAAACTAAAGATTAATTAACGATATTACTGTGCCATTTATTACGCACTTCATAAAAATTAATACGCACACATAAATAAATAATAAAACAGTGGAAAATTGAGATCAAAACCAAAGCCTAATTATGTGCTGCAAGCTACAACAATTCAGTAACAATATTTATTAAACACTTCAAATCGAAGCAAATTCAAATCATATTGAAATTAGTAGTCAAATAGTCATTTTGGAATACTGAAATTGTAACAAAATCCCAGTACACAGATGCGTACAAACAAGCATGCATATTTAGAAAATGTATTCTATATACGAATACATATGAGGTTATGTGCAACACACACTCAAAATACGGATACATACTTAGCAAAATTTCCTCTGTGTTGTAATTTATAAAGAGAGAAAAGTAAATAAATCATTTAGTAAAGTATCTTTTATGCTGTGATCAATGACTTTTAACGTCGATAACGTAAATGAACTAGGGAAAATATATAATATCAGTTCAAGAGATGTATCTTTCCAAATGAGGAAAAAGAACAAGAAACATTACCAGCATATAATACAGACAAATTACAAAGCTAGTGTTCCCATCCTCAATAAATATGGTTTTGACAATCATTATATCAGGGACTGAAGCCTAATGTTCAAGCCTATGCCTCACCAAGAAGTTTAACAGCAACACTGGAAGAAGAGCAAGAAAAATACAAGAGCCAAAGTATTTTCTGTAAGCCCAGAAATAATTTCTAATACATAACCGAAGATAAAGTCATTAATCTTCTTCTGTAGAAGCAGCAGAAATTTCAAAGGAAGGAGTTTTATCTGATAGAAGAGTCTTGAGAAATGCCGTCGAGCAGAAATATCGTAAATTATTTTCAAAACATAAAAGGGCTAAATTTGAACACCCTGTAACAAACAAACTGTCAAGGAAGAAATGTAAGAAAGAGGTTTACAAAATTTCCGTTATATTGAGAAGTGTTGCTTAAAAAATGTGTTTATATTTCGTCAGATCAGCTTTACATAAAAGAAATGATATCCTTTCTAACAAATTTAGATACACTTTAGATTTATATTCAGGTTGTTTAAGTTAATCTGATAAGGTATTTTCTTCCTTCCTTCCGCATGCCTTTCTGGTGTAATGGAAGCTCCTGATTTCTTTTTAGTCACTCATATTACATCAGCAAAAAGTCGTAAAACATGCTAAAACCAAAAATGGGAAAAGAAATTTACGTCTTTTCCTGCATCTCTTCAACGGGTTGACGCAATGAAATAAATAAATATGTATACATATAATTAGAAATTGTAGTAAGCTCGCCTAAAAGTTACCAGGACCTGTTGCTCCAAAAAGTTCAACACGTTTTAAAAAATTAATACATATGAAAATCTCAAACCATTAAACATGTAAAACATTAAAAAACAGAATCAGATAAAAAAAAGTAAGCGGAAAATGGTAAATTAGCCTAACTCGACTTCCAAACTGGCTTTTCAAGGGAAATTTAATTTGTTTGAACGTCGAATCAAGCTAACCCCATTACGCGTTTCGCCGAAACAGACAATTGAAACTTTTTCGCTACAAAATTTTTTTAATTTAGACAAAGTGTCTTATGTTTAATGGTTTGATTTTCATATGTATTAATTTTTTAAAACGTGTTGAACTTTTTGGAGCAACAGCTCCTGGTAACTTTTAGGCGAGCTTACTACAATTTCTATTTTACTTATTTTGCAGCATATTGTGCAAGATGTTTTCTAGACCAAATTGGTTTTTCAATATTGTAATTACTACCTTGCTTGATATATTATACATATAATTATATATTTGTAGTAAGTACACAAGTGTAGTAAATAAGCCAAAAAGCATTTATTATTTTTTTATTTTCGATCAATCGGCTTTCGTTCATGAGTTCAACAATAAATAAATTTCTTTTGATATGTGTAAATTAGTACTTTTAGGTTTTTAATATGAATTCCATCAGAATTTAAAAGTTCTACTAAGTATTTTTTCCATAGTTTTATATCAGTCTTCTAAGAATTAGCTTTTAATAAGATTTATTTTAAAGTAGGTCGTGCTGTTCACTTCGTAGAGGGTAACCGAAAATAAAAAAGGATCAATTATATATATAGATATATTGCAAGATAAATTAAAATAGTATATTAAATTAACATGTTTAAAATCCATCCCACATTCAATGCGGAACAAACCATATCTAGAAATGAAAAACAAGAAGCACAGTAGTAAATTGCATGAAAAGTCCAAAAACTGTTAAAACAAAAAATGGGAAACAGAAAAAGGAATTTCCATCTTTCGTTGCGTCGTTCGTCAGGCGGTTGTAACGTAAAAATTATTAAAAGTAAGTAAAACATTATTAGAAACAATAATATTAATTATAATATTATTTTAGTATTATTAAATACACTCTTTTACAAAAAATTCGAAACACCAAGAAGGACTTTTGCGATCGTGACGAACTTTGGTATGCAAAAACATTTTGATCGAACATGCAAATGATCAAAATTTCAAGGCAAATGAACAGGAATTGCTATCATAGCTCGCATTTTTGTGCGCAATTCGCAAAGTATAAACCAAGAATACAGCCGAAAAATTTATCTTTTTTGTTTGCTACCATTGTAATTCCCTAAAGAAGCAACTAAAGATGCCATTACGACGATATCGAATACCTTACAGACAACTAAACGACTTCGAACGCGGTCGCATTGTAGGGTTGCCTGAAGCTGGGTGGTCATATCGAGCAATAGCCGCCACCTGCAGCGTACAGACACTGCTGTGCAAAGATGTTGGCAGCACGGTTGCTACAAGGAAATTGCCGACGAAATGAAGGCTCTGGAAGGCCAAGGAGCACAAATGCGATGCATGATAGGATGATTGTTCGCCAGGCCCGAGCCGCCCCAACATTATCATTCTAGACTATTCAACGAACTACAGCCTCCTCTATACCTGCCTTGGTACTGTTCACCATCTCATGGTGCTTGTCCCTGAGGCGGGGTTATGCTCACAGAGGCCTAAAGGCCACCTTTGCCTTTGACCCCACAACATCGAAGGAATTGTCTGGAGTGGTGTCGCAGCCGATCATCATGGCTGCCATCAGACTGGCATCGTATAGTGTTCAGCGATGAATTCCGCTTCACTCTTGAAGCAGATGACCACCGTGTTCGTTTCTGGAGAGGAAGGAGCCAGCAGTTCCAATCAGCCTTTGTTTTACAAAAGCATACAGCTAATAACCCCTGGTGTGATGGTGTGGGGCACTATTTCTTATGACAGCAGGTCATCTTTAGTCATCCTACGTACATCTTTAACAGCTCAACGATATGTTGATACCATCCTGCGGCCGGTTGCATTATCCTTCATGGCACGTCATCCTGGGGGCCATTTTCCGATGAGATATTGCCAGGCCACATACCGCTCGCCTATCTCTGGACTGTCTTCGTGCGGTTGCACGAACCTCCACACCTTTCACCAATCGAGCATGTCTGGAACATGGTAGGCCGCCAAATTCGGGCACCACAAAATATCGCTGATCTGGAGCGACAACTGATGAATGCCTGGCAGAATGTGTCGCAGGATGACATTAGGAACCTCTACCACTCCTTGCCCCGACGAATTTCAAGCATGCATTGCCGCCAGGGGCGGTTCGACCAACTACTAATTTGAACACTCAATGGGTGATTGTGAGCCGTGAACAGGTACAGTGACCTTGATTTTTTAATCATTTTATTATCTGTGTATGAGCTATGCACATATTCAATTTCATCAAAAACAACCACTTCCTTCATGGTGCTTCGGTTTTTTTTTTCCCCCCAAAAGAGTGTATATTATATTATCTTATAATATATTTAATTTAATTATATTAATAATTATTATATTATCTTATAATATATTTAATTTAAGTATATTAATAATTATTATATTATCTTAATTATCTTATATTAATCTTATTATCTTACAATTTAAGTATAATGAGTATAAATGTTTGTCTTATAAGATTAAACACACCTTGATC